CCCTATCATGCAATTTCATATATCCTGATAACTTGAAGTCAAATTTGTTTATGGAGGTCAACAGTGACAAGCCTTTCTATTACAGTGTGATAAAAGAAGACTTCTGAGATGCCCTAAACTAACAGACACCAGAGAATGGAGGGAGAAAAGAAATGAGAAGCTCATTAAGGAACAGTCCTAAGCTCCTTTAACAAAAGTTAAAAAAAAAAAGCTTCATCTTCCTACATGCTGACAATTCCCTTCAAGACTGCATCACACTTTTAGAATCATCCAATCAAGAAAAGATAAAAAGAACTTTTTATGGTCACACTGTGCCTGCCTTGTAATCCTACTCTGAAGCCTGAGACAGGAATATTCTTTGTTTCTTTTTTCCTTCTCTTTTCTTTCTTTCTTACTTTCTTTTCTTCTCTCTTTCTTTTTCTTTCTTTCTTGTTGGTCATGGAGCTTGAACTCTGGGCCTGGGTGCTCCTTTAGCTCTTCAGCTCAAGGCTCGTGCTCTACCACTTGAGCCACAGCACCACTTCTAGTTTTCTGAGTGGTTTATTGGAGAGAAGAGTTTCCTGAGCAGCTAGGATTACAAGTGTGAGCCATCAGCACCCAGGCAGGAATATAATTTCAAGGCCAGCCTGGGTTATATATTATATATATATTCCATTTATTGAATAATCTCCTATCCCAGAACTTGTCTGGTTTTTAGTGTCATGCTCTTTTATCTATAGTCAATACAGGCCTAATGTCAACAATTTGTTTCTTTTCTTTTCCCAGAATTTCATTATAAAACACCTTGGTTCTTTAGGATTTCATTCAGGAGGACATTTTTCCAAGTACTACCTAGCTATGTGCTAGTGGTTTAAGGAGTTTGTCTCAGGATCTGTCCTTTTGCCTGTGACTGGCATTTGTAACAGCTTGATTAACTATTTCAGAGACCTCTTAGGCTCAAAAGTTTGATTTAACCACTTAGCAATGGTGGACCTGAAGGAATGAATGCATCATGTTCACTAAGTGAAGTATTTTTAGGTTTTAGTGTTTCACAACTAAATACCTAAGTCAGTGTAGAGCAGACAAGAACAAAATGGATTCAATGATTTTGAATATCATTTAATATCATTCATTATTCTTTTGGAAGTACCATAAATATTTAATAAGATTTTTATTGGCTTATATTAGTTATACACAGAAGGATTTCACTGCTACATCATTGTACATGTTTACACTGTATTGCAGTCAATTTTACCCCCTCTCTCATACTCCACAAGCAGCAGTATTTAAAGCACCCGATCATGGAAGTTTCCAGAGGCAGAAAGACGTTTTCCTTTTCCTTCCTTCCTTTTTCTTTGTTGGCATCCTAGTATGCAAAATCAATGACTTCACCAATTAGGCCAACTAATTCCAAACAGGAACTATAAGACATTTAGCATCATTCCTAACCATAGGTCATCAGAAAATAACAGACCTCGAAAACTGTTCGTTGGTTCCGCAACCAAAATTAAAACGTTCGATGTGTGTGCCTAGGTCCACGTACCAGTTCCAAGAGCCAGGCCGTGGCCTTGCAGTAAACTCTGTCCAGTTACAATTCTGCCGTACTTTCAATTTTTGACTTTTTTTTCCCAAAATTGTTCTAGGTCTTTGGCAGTGGAGGTCATTCTCTTACGTTGCTGACAAAAACACACTCGCAGCCACGTAAGACTCCTCCAGTAAAACGTTCCCAAATCCTTCCACACACCCGCGGCGGCACAAGGTCC